TTTCATTCTATTATAATAAAACTTGAAAGAAGAGATTAATTGTTTTGCATCGTCAGTAATTATTTATTGATGCATAGTTCGGTAATTCAATCCACCTAAATAATGCTATAATTAATATTAATAATAAATTCATTAGATAAATATATGTATATATACTTTTCGCATTAAAGAATTACCATTTTAAATGTAATTACACTCTACTATGGTTATTCTGTATTTTACTGCAAAATAAATATACATAAGCGTAATTTAATCGGTCGGTTTAGTTTATACTTTTACAAGGTTGGCATATTGATTCGGGTTATTTTTGACGGAAAAGACAAAATTCTCGTGTTGGCTACGAATGTAATTATATTGGTTATATATAAAATATTGTGCAAATCAAGCGATCTGTTAAATAGAGTTTGGTTTGCATCAAATAAAAGAATAAAGCTTTGTAATCTAACTCATTTATTGGCCACATCTAACAAGAAAAACATACCTCAAGTACCTAATTTAATCTTAATAAGGTGAATCCTAAAAGGTATTCTTTTATTTACCCTTTGAATATCAATTGCAATCCATAAGTTATATGGTAATGATAGTCGATCGATCTATGGACTCGTTTTTCCGTCGTATTCAGTGGAAGAAAATTTCCGAATTTGATAATGATAAAACAAACAGAGAGACGAGTACTGAGCTGAAATAGAGTGAAATTCCCCTGATGAACAAAATTTCGTCCTTATACAAGGGTTTTAGAAATTCCCTTATCATTAAAAGTTGCCAGTGCTTTGTCTTCCTATGTGTAATTACAATAACAGTAAGTAAAGTAAAATGAGAATGCTATCTGGCTAAATTGTTAATTTCAAGTGGAATTTTATTCAATTTTTAATTTTGACAATTATGTTTACATATGAATTTCGAGCTTATTCATCAACGATGCACTTATTGAATTGTTTTCCATTAGCTATTTGTACTGGGAATAAAGCATAATAAAGCTTAATAAAATAACGATATAAACAAAATTTAACCTTGATTTATTTATGATCCGGTAACCATGACATAAATTCGCTAAATCTAAAGTATTACTTTAAGACATAAAACTCTTATATCGGGTTACTAAAAGCTTTAAAACGACATAATAGAATTTATTCGTCTTAATTTGTATGGCCTAATATCAGTATAATGAGACGCCATGAAATATTCCTTAATAAATCGATAATTTAATGCACTCAAGTTTAAATTTATTTCTATCTAATTTACTTATGGCGATAAACACAATGATTTTGTTTAGTTAGCCACGTTAAATGAGCTGTTTCATTCATAGGCTAGTAAATAGTCTGTGGAGAGCACGACACTAGGATGACTGCATCGACGAACAGAAGGTAGTTCTGCAGATTGCGTTAACACGTTGAAGGAGATACGACCCACCGATGGGTAGTTGCTGAATTCTATCTTCTGCGAAGGAACCCACGGGTGCGTCGTTTATAAAAGTAATACACTGCAGTGACCTATTCATAATCGAACCAGTGGGTTTTGCCCATCGCTAAGAGACAAGTGCTGTCGTGAGTGCAGAGGCTCCTCAGTCAGCCAACAATCAATAGTCACTGTATTGTTGATTTTGAAATGTTTAAACTTTTATTACTATCGTGGTACACCCTTGGCAACGTATACTCATACGGCAAAAATTTCTATCAATCGGTAGTTGACTTCTGACTTCAAACTACCATGACTCAACTGTATGTCATATTCGACCCCTTTCACAGTACTAACATCACCTTTTTTCTACCTTCGTCTTTGAAACACTCTCCTATTCCCCCCCCGCTCGACTTTTTTCACTTTGATGTTCCTTCCCCTCTGTGAAGCCTGAAGTCAACTAAAGGGCTAATGATAACTATCAAAACGCCTGCCATTTGATATAAATAAATAAACTTTATTTGCTACTCTCTATGTGTCAATGACACTCATCCACAGTGAACACTATTTACACCATGCATTCTCTTTCTCGATAATGTTGCGAAAGCTTCGGGTACAATTTCTTGCAAGAGGATTTTGGCATAGAGATTGCTGAGGCTTAGCCAAGTCATATGTGTGTACCAAGTAATACGAATCTAAGTTTCTAAAAACATTAAATCAAATTAAATATTATTAAAATATTACCAAAATTAATTTCTTTCGCCATTTAGAATTGTGAAACACTTTTAACAGACTAAGTCGATATATTGATTTTCTTATAACATAATGAAGGTGGAGTAGTAATATTATTGCTATCCCAATTTGTTGTCCTCTAAAGCTGTTTATGCCACCCCCTTCAATGTCAGTGAGGTCTTACAGATTTTGGACTTTTAAAAGGGCACAAATATTTCGGTTTCTTGAAAGGATTAAATAGGTTAGTGACCTTATTCTCCAAAATCCGCAAAATACACTAGAAAGTACACAAAAATAACTTTACTTGGAGGGGGGGGGGAGTAAGACAGTTGGGTAATTAACGGATTTCCAACGTACAGATCGATTTTGAAGGATTACTAATTTCATGTTTTACCCTTCGATGTGTCCAAAACGTCTATTATTGACTTGCACTCGCCTCTGTCATTCGATGTCTTAATTACTTTGACATTCCGGTTTTTATTCGTTTTGCCCTAAAGTTCTCCTATGTCAAATTCATTATGTTCGCCTCTGTGTCTCTTTTATTTCAACGGATGCGTTACGATAGATAACTACACTTCTATCTTGGGGACACTGGAAGTTTATGCTTATCCATACTGTTGATTCCATGTTCGTAGGGGGACATAGTCTTAGCATAAAAATATTGGAATCCTCCAAGCTTTGAAGTACAAATCGAAAGGACTATTCTCTATTAATAACGATTTCAAAATGTCAGGCTTAGACTTGAACAAGTTTATTCAGTTATTTTCATCTTTTCAAGTATATAATGTCACATAAATTTTCTCAATTTAAAGAAGATAATTATCAATTTGACCGAAAATGAGTACTCCTGCACCTTATGAAGTTTATCTTTATTTGAAAAATATTGAAAAGTGAGATTTTATGGTGGTATTGTCAGTTGAAGATGGCATGCAGACTTCTTAATGAGGGAGTGTTACTATTTCATCTTTCTAATGGTTTTATTAACTAAACAGAACTTCAGCCAATAAAACGGAAGATAAATGTCCAATGGTACCATTCAAAGGTTATTAGAGAGACAAAGTGTCATAATCTGTATTTAATTATTTTCCTATTGGTATGATCCTGTACTTTTAAAGCCTACTTCAGATGGATTAGAGGCCTTAATGTTTGGCCCTGGAAAGTATTTTCTATTAAGTATTCGACCATAAATTTTCTCCACATTCAGTGGTGGTGGTGGTGGTGGTAGCGGCAGAGCCATGTAACTCAGAGGTCAAGGTTTAAGGTTCCAGTCAGTAGAGGGTGCTCTACAGAATGGGTTTCCAACCCTGCGAATCTAAAGACGGGATAAGTGTCGTCAGTCAGCCATTTAAGCCTGATTAATTTTTCCATTGCACTAATTTAAAGTAGTCGGTAAAATATTATACAAAGCAAAGAAAATGCTCCCGATATCGAATGCAATTTCCATTAAATCAACTTCGTGAATCATCTAAATTGAAATGCACCTCAAAAATGTATTTATAGACCGGGTCGGATATTGTGGAAACAGTTGATTTCAAAAATAAACTTTTAATATCGTATAATAATATAGGAGTCCAAGTTTAGAATTTTCTCCGTCGTATTTACGCTCAATAATGACAAAATAATCTTAAAATACGGTTTTGAGAAATAGGGATTAAAATAAATGATAAATCAGCCAATGCTGTGAAGTTGAATTTAAAGATTTCCAGGCATTATTATTATTATTATTATGTGTGAAAAAGTAACGGGTATTTTCGGTCTTCAACTTTCACTCCACTAATTTTCCTATTGTATTTCGCTTCTTGTTCCTCAATTCTCTGTCACTACTGCATTATTCTAGCTAACACAGAAGTAGACATTTTCAAAACGTAAGTGCAAAAAAACTGAAATGTAATAATCGTTCAAATTTTGCACATGATTAACTCATATTTCTGCAAGTGTTTGAAAACGCCCATCTTTCCTGAAGGTTAGTTAGCCGGGTATGTAAATAAAGCAAAGTACGGAAAAGTGCCATGAGGGGGGACGTGAAGTCTAATCGAATATGCCTTAAATTAGGCTAATCAATCAATTTCACCAAAATGCTTATGGATAACATATGAGGGAGGTTTTTGGGGTTACTTAAAGTCCAAACAAGCTTCAAAATGGGGTTAAAAGTAAGCAAAATTAGTGAAATTAGAAATGGGGACTTCTTCCATGAGAAAATGCGAAAAAATGGATTTTGATTTTGAATAGCACACAGCTGTTGAGTCATATCAACAAACAAACAATAGGTTCTATTAATTAAGTTCCCCCGATTTGTGCCAGTTCCTGTTGTGACAAGCTAGAAATGTATTCCTGTTCACTAGACGTTAATTTACCTCCTGTCTTAAATAAAGTTACTTGAATAACCTAAAATTATTTTTTTTTTCGTGAAAAAATGAAGGCACTGCTTCAAAGAAAATGTCAGCTTTATTCCTAGTAGATTTAATCTTATAGACTTCCCAATCACGACCCAGACACGATTTCTTTCACTTAAAAAGTAATAATCAATACAATTTCCCTTTTTCGAATATCAGTATCGATTAAAATCAGTAATTAAAATAGTATTATGTATGCCTAGTCCGTTTAAGATTCTCAGGTTATTTCATGAAAATTGGAAGATTCCCTTTTAAAACCTGATATTGTAATAAAATACTATTTAAATAACGTTTTAAACGAAATGAATCACATTAACCATAATATCAAATCGTTTTGAAAAATAAATTTCAAAATAAGTTATCAATTATAAAAAATTCATTATTTTGAAACCATGTAATAATGTATCTATCAGAGTAGTTAATAATTTTGTCCAAATCAATTTCTAATTTATCATCCCTCTACTGAAATGCATGAAATAACTAATTGATATTATGCAATTGCTTAAAATTCATAGTTTGACTCACCCTACTAATGAAGGGCGGACATCCATAATCAGCACCTCCAAACACAGCGAAACCCCAGGGCGCTTCAGGTCCTGGTCGCCTTAATCGAATCATCATAGGTGGCCTGGATGTTTGAGCAATCACATCCGGTCCGATGTACTGAGATGGGGTGACCTCAGGTGAAGCCTTCGTTGGTTGATTGGCATTACTAAAAGGTGTTCCGAAAGTCATTGGAGCCGTTGATGAAGTGAAGCCCTTATTGATGACAAATTTCTTTGGTTGTGGAGGAGGAACACTAGGTCTATCCAGGGGTTGAGGTCGCTCAAAGGTAGTTCCGTCGGGCTGTCTTTGTGTCTGATTGAACTCGACTGGTTGTTTATTGACCGGTTTAATAACATTATTGTTAGTAGCCACTTCGAAAGGTTTTGGCATAGCGTTTGAATAAACCGCGGCGCTATTAACCGAAGAAACATTTGTTGGAGCTTGAGCAGAATGTACCAATGGAGTCTTGACTGCATTGTTTGATTTCCCTGCGAAAGCGCTAGATACTCCAGGTTTCGGTTTACCATGAGTCTCCTGAATATTCAAATTTGCGAAAATTGCAATCTGTTCTTTTACGGAGCGTGGAACCTCTTCTACAACTTCCCCATTTGAACCCGGTTGAGGTGGGGCCTCAATAGCAATTGGAGTTAAAACATTTGATGCCTGTTCCGTCTTTACTGTATCTGGAGTGGGTGTTTTCTTGTCTTCATCTTTTACATTCTTTTCAGAATTAGAGGAATTACTAGGCTGTTCATGGTTTGTCTCCTTCCCTTCTGCGTTGGGTTGAGCTTCTTCTCTAGTTGTTTCGACAGTATATTCGATAACTAGTTCGTCCTCACTGGTGTTGTCATTCTCCTCGTTAGTTTCTTCAGATTTTTCATCTTTTTTAGCATCTACTTTAGCTTCCTCGGTTTGTTTGTTACTCTTATTGTTTGTGGTTCCTTCATCAGCGTCAGTTTTGGTTGATTTAGAGTCTACTTCATGGGTTCCACTAGTCTTTTCCTCTTCATCAGAACTCGAGTAAGAGGCACTAGAAGATTCTGTTTCTGAAGAGGACATGAATGGATACACGCTCCGTCGAAGTCTATGTGAAGGAAACGAGGTTTGTTAGCTTCTAGCACCCACAACTGGTAAGGCATTCTGGTTGGATGGGTTGTGGACAAGCACCGAGAACGCCTATTGGTTAGCTTAGGAGGGCGCGTGATCTTTCAACTAAGCAGGAGACTGTCTAGAAATATTACATTCGTTTTAAGGAAAAAATTTTCGTTAAAATTTAAAAATAGCAAAATGTAAAAACAATGAAAGTATTTATATACCTGGGGAAGGGCGTTGATATTTGCATTTGATGGCAATAGGGAGTACAATTAATTTCATTCATATTTCTAACTTCAAATAGGTTGTCATTGAAAATGTAATTATTGATTGTAGGTGTAAAGAATTTAAATATTTTGCTCTCTTTTGTGCTGATATTTTTAATTTTCCGCATAAATAAATGTGAAGTGAGATAAATCGTGAGGGCTTTAATTAAATAGAAGGCTAGTGATCAAATAACTGGTAAAAATTTATGTGTTTCAAATGGCAGGCGTTTTGATAGTTATCATTAGACCTTTAGTTGGCATCGGGCTACGCAGAGGGGAGGAACATCAAAGTCACAAAAATCGAGAGGGGGGACAGAAGAGTGATTCACAGATGTAAAAGGCAGAGAGAAGGTAAGATGAGTTCTGTGGAAGTGGTGGAACATGTCATAGAGTGGGGTCATGGTAGATTGAAGTGAGTTGTCAACTGCCGGTTTCTAGACTTTTTTAGCGTATGAGTATACGTTGACCAGGGTGCACCACCTGCAGGTAAGTCTATGGCACACCCCCGTCATTAAATATAATACAA